TCAATATTACAAGTCGAGGCTTGAATTTTTTCTTCAGTTCTCTCAGCTTGAGAAATGCTGAAGCATGTTCTTCCCTTTGGGTTTTCTAACTCCAGGTCTTTGCATACTTCATTATAATATTTAATTTTGTCTTCTCAAGCTCGCCTTTGAAATGTTCTGTTCAGCTCTTTTACCACCTCATTTCTTCCATTTGCTTTAGCATCTCTACACTGGAAAGCAAGTTTTAGAGTCTCTTCTGACATCCATTTTGGTCTTTTCCTTCTTTCATGTCTTTTTTTTTTTTAATGTTTTATTGTGAATTATATGATAGTTTACATGGGAGAACTTTAGTTTTACATTCATTCCATCGTATATCATCACATTGCCATGGTCCCAATCCCCTCCATGCATCATCAACCACCCAAAGGGTATATCCCAGAAACCCGCCCCTACAATTCCCCCTCCTCCCCCGTTTCATGTCTTCTTAATAACCTTTTGCTTTCCTCCATGATCTGGATGTCATGAATTAGATTTTTAGGTCATTAGTGTCTAATTCATCAACTCTGTTCCTCAGATGACCTCTAAATTCAGGTGGGCTGTGTTCATGGTCATGTAATGCATCAAATCTGTTCCTCAAATGATCTCTAAATTCAGGTTGGATGTGTTCACAGTCATCTAATGCATCAAATCTGTTCTTCAGATGATCTCTAAATTCAGGTGGGATGTGTTCACGGTCATATTGAGATTCTCATCAACGTGTTTTCATTTTCTTCATCTTCAGCCTGAACTTGCATGTGAGCAATTGATGATCTGTTCCAGTTGGCCCAGGCCTTGTTTTGGCTGATGACATGGAGTTTTTCACCATCTCTTTCCACAGATATAGTCAATTTGATTTTTGTGTCCCATCTGGTGAGGTCCATGTGTACAGTTGTCTTTTATGTTGTTTAAAAAAAGGTGCTTGCATTGAAGAAGTCACTGGTCTTTCAAAATTCTGTCATGTGATCTTTAGCATGATAGAATCACCAAGGCCATATTTTCCTACAAAAGATCCTTCCTGTTTGTTTCCAATATTTGCATTCCAATTACCAATAACTATCAATAGATCTTAATTGCACGTTTGATCAATTTCAGTCTGAACAAGTTGATAGAATTTTTCAATTTTATCATTACTGGCTTTACAGATTGGTGTGTAAATTTGAATAATAGTTAAATTAACTGGTCTTCCTTGTAGACATATGGATACTATCCTATCACAGACAGCATTGTACTTACAGATCTTTAAATGTTCTTTTTAATGATGAATGTGGCACCATTCCTCTTCAATTGGTCATTCCCAGCAGAGTAAGTCATGTGATTGTTAAATCAAAATGGCCAATACCATCCATTTCAGCTCACTAATACCTAGGATTTGATGTTTATGCATCCCATTTCATTTTTGGCAACTTACATTTTTCCTAGATTTATACTCTGTATATTCCATGTTCTGATTATGAATGGATGCCTACAGCTGTTTCTCCTCATTGTGAGTTGTGCCCCATCAGCAAAGGAAGGTCCTAAAACGTTTACTCCATTCGCATCATCATGGTCAACTTTACTTTGAGGAGGCAGCTCTTCCCCAGTCGTATATTGAGTGCCTTCCAACCTGAGGGGCTCATCTTCTGGCGCTGTATCTGACAACATTCTGGTGCTCTTCATCATGTTTCAGTATTCAGTATTCTGTTGCTATCTGACAATGTTCCACGGCTAGTCATGAGGTTTTCAGAGACTATTCGGAAGTAGGCTGTCCTTCCTAGTCTGTCTTTGGCTGAAAGCTCAGCTGAAACCTGTCCACCACGGGTGACCCTGCTGGTATAGCTTCCAGAATCACAGCAAGACGCAAGCCACCACGGCACGACAAACTGACAGCCACCACGGCAGGACAAACGGACAGCTGAGTGGTGGTCTTCTTTTTGGGGTTGTTGCACAGTGTGGTTTAGGTTTTTGTCAGTTTGACGATTCTTTTTCTAAAAATTTGTCTTGAGAAAAATGTTATTTTTACATGGAAAATGTGCGAGCATCTTTCTGAAGATCAGGTTTATATATGCCAACAACAAAATTAATTGGAGAAGAATTCTTATAACTACATGTTTATGTGCTTTTATTAGTTTTTCCATGGGCTAAATCTTTACACCAGTAGCTCCCCAATCTCTATGTCCAGGGATCACTCTCCTGAACCCCATGTCACATATGCACCCCCTTGGGAGACTCAGATTCTCACATGTCCCAAAGTGAATGCGTCATCTGACCCACACACCTGCTACACTGCTGTCTCCTCCTCTCATATCACATCTGCCTGGATGCTCCCTAGACCTCCTGACCCTCTTGAGCCAGGTCACTCTGTCTCCTCTGCCCCACAGTGCTAACCCTAGTCTCCCTGCAACCTTTCTGGTGCCTTCTAGTCCCTTCTGCACGTGGGAGCCAAAGTGCTCTTCTCTCCATGGCAACCTCGATGACCTCACTGCTGGAGTCTAGACCCTGCTTCTGAGCAGGCAACAAACAAAAGCCTACACGCCGCAGGGCCTGACCCTGGAGGCCCAGCTCTGGACCTGGTCCCAGCCCCCATTCCGTTCCCTCAGCCACACCACGACCTCCAGCCATGATTCCACACCTGAGTGTCCTGGGCCACCTTCTGACTCCTCAGGTATAAGCTAAGGCCACACCTCCCTCCATCTGGCCCCTCAGGCTGACCCATCACCCAGTCTTCCTGACACCCAGACTCCTTCCGAGCCCAGGGCCATCTTGACAGTCCGAGCCCTTTCTGGACCCATGGGCACCCCAGCAACCAGCAGGATTGAAGTGACCCCTGGCTCTGAGAGTTGATGTCGAGGGCTGCAGCTCTGCAGGCTTAGCCTCGTGGACCGTCCCCCCGCCCCCCAGCCCACCTCTGCGTCCTGCAGGGCCTGGCCATGTGCGTCTCAGGGTTCTCCCTCCCCGAAGTGGTGTGGACAGTGGTGGGCATTAGGAGATGCAAGCACACTGTGAGGTCACCTTGGATGTGGCCAACTCTAGGGACTCCTCTGAAGAGCCAGAAAGGAAGAAGGGCCAGGTGGGTTGGAGGGTGCCTCCCACCTGATATGGCTGGTTCATCTTCAAAGAGGGCTCTGGGGGCTACCACATGAGGTGGTTTTAATACAACTACAGTTTGTATTTTTATGGAGTAAATGTCTGGAAATTTCCCATTGTTTTCGCTGTTATGCTGCCACCTAGTGGTCACATCTCTGAATTGCAGCTTCTACTTGTCTTTGGGCTCAGTTTGAATTTTCAAGGTCTCCTCAGCGTATCCGCCAATCTGCAAACACTATAGCAGGAGAAACCAGCCCAAACCAACAGATGCTGGTGAGCCACCATGTGATAGAAGAATGATTTATTTGAACACATTCCATGACAAATCATATAAAATAACCATTTTTTAATGACACCCACAAGACCACCTGAGAACAAACATACAGACACCTCCGAGAAGCCAAATAAGATACAGATCCCAAATCCAGGGCTTGGCAGCAGAATAAGACAACTCAACAGGGAAGGACTATGAACGTGGGAATAAAACAACGATACAGCAAGAGCCGAGGCTGGGGTGGGGGCGGGGGGCATGGAAGAGGACGTCGTGGATCAAAGTTACAGCCCAGATTTCTGGGCCAGGCTGTGCACAACTGTGCAGGCATGCAGGGGTGGGGGTGGCCAGGCTAGCACCTCCTCGAAGTGGACAGACAGCAGACTCGAGAGGGTGGGGATGGACAGAACCTTTCCCACCTGCACACGTAAACATGGGGCACTCAACTCCACATCAGCGAAATGTAAACATGGGCTCCCAGCCCCCCACCAACAGCAAGCCAGCCGGCACTGACCACTGCTCTACATGGTCAAGGTGGGACACCCCTGCCCACACTGGCCATGGCCAACAAACAGCTCTTTGGCTTAGAGGCTCCAGGAGACTCGGCCACCTCTGAGGGGTAGCTCTGCTTACCGCTTGCTCCCAGCTGAAAGAATCCTGAGACTAGGGAACTTGCTCCTGGAACCCTGAGCCACCCCCCCGCCGGGGGTGGGTGAGGTATCCAGGGCCAGTGAGCTGGAAGCTTCCAGAAGCCTGAATTTCTGCATACCCCCTTCCCCCTCCAAAAGCCAGATCCCCCAGAAATCCAAGTGCAACACCTAATGTCCTCGTGGATACAGCTGCAGCTCTCTGCAGGTGTGTACACGTGTCTGCATGTGTGCATCTGTGTGCAGGTATGTTGTCTGTGTGCACACTTTTGTGGGGGTGTGTCTGCATGTATACCTGTGTACAGGTGTATGGGTCTGCCAGTGTACTGTATGGAAATACGTCTTTATGTGTACATGTGTGTATCTGCATGTGTTCCCTGGGGGACTGTCTTCATGTGTTGGTGTGCACATCTGTGCACAGGTGAGTGTCTGTATGCACATCTGTGCACAGGACTCATTCTCACTGCTTGGCTGTGGTCTCTTCCGGGCCCCTGGGCAGCTCAGTGGATTTGGCAGGTGTTTGGCACCAGACTCACAGCCATGGGGTCCCGGCCCCAAACATCACCAGTCACTGCCTTCCTGGGTGCTAGGCTCTGGCTCTGGCTCTGGCCCTGGCTCGGTGGGAACCCCAGACTCCTGGGCAGAGCTGGCTGCACCCCCGTTTCTGCACAGCCCAGGGGTGTACACTGAGGTCCCAGCTCTGCATTTGGCACTGAAACGATGTGGCCTGTCCCCTGCCCACCCAATCGGCTGGACACTGTAGGGGGCCCCTCCCACTAAGGACATTCAGCTCTCTGGGAGGGGTGCCGCCGTGGCCTGGACCACACTCTCCTTCCCAGCAAGACAAAACTCATGGCGATGGACACAGGTGAGGACACGCATGTGGGTCAGGAGTGGCCTCAGCCGAAGTCCTGGGGGCTGGGTGGGGGTGCCACTGCAGGATATGGCACGTGTGGAGGTCTTGGTGGAGGGGTGGGCGGGGGCACAGGACAGGGGGCGATCTAGATCAGGAAGCGCTCGGCGTCAGGGAGGAAGTCGGGCAGGAAGACGGGGTCCAGGAGGCCGGGGGAGCCACAGTTTGCACGCGGTGGGCAGCCTCTTGGCCGCAGGGCAGGCAGAAGAGCTTCTGCCGAAGGAGGTGATGGGCTCTCGGGGGCTGCGCGGCCCTTCCCCGGCTGGGCTGGGCCCCCAGAGCTCCTGTTTCCCGTCACCAGGTCCAGGTTCCCCCTGGGGTCCACCATTGCATTGATGACTGCGGGGAGGGAGGTGTTGGGGGTGATTGACTGTGGGCTCACCCTGCTCCCTGCCCACTGTCCAAGGGGCCTCTGGGCAGTACCCCAACCACAGCTATGTCTGTTTACCTTCCAGCTGCTTCTGCACAAGCCTTAGTTCCTTCAGGATGGAGCTGATCTCCTGAGAAGTATGGGGAAGAGGACCAGGAGGACAAAGGCCATGAAGGAGCTGAGAACCCAGGGGTCTGTCCTTCCCCTGAGGCCCAGGGACAAGCTCACACACACATACCCGCAGCCAGTGAGTCCAGGCCAAGGAAGTGCTGACCAGACGATCATGGGGGCCCCTGCCCGCCCCGGGCAGCACCCTCACCTTGTTGGACGTCTTCAAGATGGGCACCTCATTCTCAGCATTGACCCTGGCTTCCAAGTCCTCCCATGCGCGCCCCGTGTTCTGGAAAAGGATTCTGAGCAACAGGTGGGGAGGAGCCAGATCAGGTTTTGATGATGCTCTCCCATCCCCCAGACCACCTCTCCGGGCCTTAAGGGACCTCGGCAGCAGCAGACCCTGGGCAGGGCGGCATGACCACCTCAGCCTTTGTGGTGCCCCACGAAATGCAGCGGGACTATGACTGGGGGTGTCCTGGATGCTTGCACCCCCTGGGCTGGGGTCTGGGTACTGGTGCTGCAGAGCCCAGCTGTACGTATGCATGTGCCTGGACGTCAGCGTGTGCACACGCGTGTCTACCCAAGCTGGGCACGTTCTTTACGTAAGCAGTGCAGGGGAGGAGTCCTCCTCCCCAGCCCCGCCCCTCCCCAGGTCCCCTTGCTCACTTCATCTTCTCAGCGAGGTTCTCAGTATGCTGGCGGATGGCGTGTGACAGCTGGGACACAGGATTCAGCATCAGGTTATCAAAGATCACCTGGGAAGACCAGGGCGTCAGCACAGTTCCGAGTGCCCCCCACCCCGCACGGCCATCGCCAGTCAGCTGCTTGCCTCCTCGCGGTTTCTAGGTCTTGTTTTGGAGGTCAGGGGGTCCTCACGGTTATCATTCAAGTTCTGGTTGAAATCCCTGGAGTTCAGAGAACCGGGCGGCACCTTCTGGAAATTGAGGCTGGCCTCGGGGATGCGTTGCACCAGCTGTGGACAGAGGGACAGAGGGGAGGGTGGTGTTGGCCCCTTGGAGGAGCAGACCCCCTACCCCCCACCCGACACTGAGGATGACGGTGTCCTGGCTCCGCCTCCCACACTAGCTGGGTCTCAGACTACCTGTCCTCAAATGAACAACCCCGTTTTAGGAGCAAACACTAGGCCGCTGGACCCTAACCCAGCCTTCCCTCTGGGCGACAGGGCTTACCTCCTCGCGGGTAGACATGGTGGAGGCGGGGGTGCTGGGCACGTTGCTGAGGGAAGGGCTGCGGGTGGGCCCCGGCGAGACCAGTGGGTCACTGTCTCCGGCCACATCGTGGATTTCTCGGGCCAAGATGGCTACATCCTTCACCAGCGTCTGGCTCAGCCTGAAAGGGCAGACACGCCTGTTGTTGGGTCCTCGGGGCACACAACATGGGGGAGGGGCCACTGCACCCCAGATCCCAGAGACATACACCAGGACCCCATGACAGAATCTACCCCCGGGGGTAGAGGGAGGGCTGAGAATTTGCTGGGTGGAAGTCGGCCTGGGGGTAAACCATCGTCTGTCCACTGCTGGGGACTCCAGAAAGGACCCACTCCACCCGGAAGGGTAGTGCAGGGAGGGGATGGGGAGGGGGGAAGGGGAAAGGGGAGACGCTCAGACAGGTGACAGGTGGGCAGAGGTACCATTCACTTCCTCCTGGTCACTTGAGGCTCTTAAACAGGAAGCTCATTTTTATTAAAAAACCTTGGTGACGTCTGTCCCGGGAGATCTGCATTCATTCCCGCTCTCCACAAGCACGGACGGAGCCCCGCCCTATGGAAGGACCCCGCCCACCCACCTGGCAATCTCTGCGATCTCCGTGGTCTGCACAATGAAGCCATAGGGGTCAGCCTCCTCCTCGTCGTCTGTATCCCGGGGACCGGGGGCCCGGGTCCGGGCCTGACTGGAGCTGCTGGCCCGCGGGGTCTGCGTGGCTGTTGAGGTATGGGAGCGGGCGTGTTTGGGGGAGCCGCACTCCTCCTCCGAAGTGGACGTGTAATCAGAGCCGGGCTGCCGTCGGCGCGCGTCTTGGTGAATGAATTGGTTTCAGAAGCAAGAACAGAGCAGAGGGGCACTGAGCGGCCAGCAGCCCTGAGCAAGCATCGAGGCCCTTGACTGATGCCAAGGGCCTGCCCAGTCCCAACACAGCCCTGGGCACACGGTCCCTAGCCACAGCCCCATGCAGAGCCGCCATGCTGACAGGGTGGGAGCCACAGCCCACAGCAGACGGAAGCAGCATCCAACAGTCTACACCCAAGCAGCCAGCCCCCACCCAGTGCAACCACACAGGGTCCCCCCAGCCTGGGCAGTTGGCCATGGTGAGCACAGTGAACCCCTGCCAAACGGGGCCATCACTCAGGATCCCTCCTCCACACCCCTTGCCCACCAGGGGCAGCCAGGTAGGTAGAGGTGACACTGCCCAGGGAGGGGCTGTTAGACTGGAAGAAACAAGACAGCCAGCGAGGGCCTGGTGGGGGTTGTGGAGAGAGGCAGGGAGCCAGCAGCATGGAGCCCCAGCCCACAGAAGGAGCTAGCAGCTACTCAACCAATCCACTCAGACGACGCCTCCTGCGTGTCTATAGGCTCAGAGAGGGTCAGAGTGGCCCCCCGCCACATGGGCACAGCTATTCCTCAAGAGCTACCAGGCCACAGCAGTTTGGGGACCGAGAAGCTCAGGGTTGAGTCCCGGGACCCGAGAGTCCCTCCCCACAGTGGCCACTGGGGTCAGGACTGCACTCATGAAGTTCCATCCACAGACCCAGGAACTTGGACCATAGGAGAATCCTCTCTGCTCTGTGTATGTTCAGGACACTTCTGGGGTGGGTGTCGGGGGGTATGTTTAGGCCCACCACCAGCTTTCGCCAGGGGATCAGAGATCCCAGCCCCCCACCTGGCTGACGCTCAGGACACTGCACACACCTGGGGGTCTAGAGAGGAGTCGGTGGAATCGGGTCTGGGGTCTCAAAAGGGATCTGAAGGGTTTTGGGGTTCCAACCACACCCAGGAGGCCCCACACTCACTGGAGGAGGGGTACCGAGCACTGCCCGGACGGGCCCTGCTGAAGGCTTGGCGAGGGCCCATGGAGGTGGTGGTAGCCGCAGCCTTCCGGGCGGTGGCCCGAGCCTCAGCCATATTGGGCTTGCGGCTCGAGCAGTACAACTCGACGCTTCGACCGGAGAAGCCTGTCCGGGCAGGGGCAGCCTCGGCCTCGCTGGTGCCGGTGAAGGAACCAGCCCGCTTCCGGGGCATGGCCAGGATGTCCAGTCTGGACAGCTTCTTGGCCTGCTCAGTGGCTGGTCGACCAGCCGGCTCAGGATTGCCTGGAGCACCCCGTTCACTGTCCACGGCCTCTGTATCGGACGTGTCGCCCAGCCGGGCTCTCCTCAGCCGTGAGGCTCGCGTGGGTCGTGGGGTGGACAGGCTGTTGGAGCGGGTCAGCGTCTGTTGCACCTTTTGGGAGCTGTTGGAGCCTCTGCCCTGATCATCCCGGGCGGCCGGCGATGGTGGTGGGGCAGCTGGCTTCCGACGAGGACCTGGACGTCCCAGCCTGGTGCTTACGGGCATCTCATGGTCAGAAGCCACAGTGTCCGCAGCAGGCAGGTGGGTAGGGCTGGAGCCTCGCTCCTCATCTGGCCAGTCCAGGGACCCGGGGGGCCTGTGCCCACGCCTCATGGACAGGCGCCGGGTCAGCTCTCCGCGGCCTGGGTCCACTGGGCCTGGTGGGCGGCGCTGCTTCTCTGACAGTCGACCGCGGGCGCTGCTCAGGGCAGAGCTTCCAGGGTCCGATGCAGCCAGTGGCTTGTCCTTCGGAGGCCCCGGAGGCTGTGGGGTCGTTGGACTAGACCCATTCTTCCCACTGAGAAGGCTGACCATGCTGCCTGTATCCACATCCGAGTCCCCGGACAGGGAGTCCTCTTGCGGCCCTGAGGGGCTACCACCGTCCCCCTGTGCCTCCGCAGACTTGGACAACAGCTGGGCCTCCAGGGCTGCGAGCGCCGTCTCGGTCTCCTTCAGGATCAGGCGGGTGTCCTGGGAGGGGAGGTCTGAGCGGGCAGCCCGAACTGCTTCCAGGTCTTGGAGCAGCGGGTGACTGCAGATGTGTGGTAGCTTGCCAGGGGCTGGGGGGCCGCTGGCCGGCTCCTTGGTGAAGCTCTCCTGCCGGATAAAGGCCAGGTTCTCCTTGGGGGGTGCTGAGCCAGGGCCTCCGGGCTCCGGGGAATGTCCCTTGCAAAGCTGGATGACCATACGCCCACTGGTGCTGACGTAGAGGCCATCCCTCGTCTGTGGGCTAGGTGGGGTGGCCCGCTGGGGAGGTACTGGCCCTGGGCCCTCTGGCTCGCCTGGAGCTGCAAATGGTTTCCGGGTGCCCGTGGCCTCCCCATTCTGGTCCCCGATAAAGAATGAGGTGGAGGCCGGTTCCCCTTGGGTCCAGGGAGACTGCCGGCCCCTCCTCCATGCCGGCCCCTCCTCCGGGCACCTGTGTTTCTCTGGCGGCTGCCCCTTGCTCGGCACTGGGTTCCATCCGCCCTCAGACCCACTGGCATCACTGAGGCTATCAGGATCCAAGTCCTCCTGGCCAAAGAATGGACCGGCCTGCTCACTGCCAGATTCTGGCCGCCCAGGCCCAGCCTTCCTCGTGACCTGAGAGCCTGCGGGGCTGTCTGCCCGCTCACTGGGCAGCTGCGGGAGGAGGCGTCGTGTGCGTGAGGGCAGGGTCACCTCAAGTTCCGTCATGGCCCGGTGGCCAGCACTGTCCTCTGCAAAGGTGGGACAGTAGTCTAGTGTCCAGGGAAGCACTAGGTGTCCACACACCGGCACACAACAAGCAGACAATGTGCCCAGCCACGTCAAGTAACCACTCACCTGTCAGGCCTGGGTCCGAGAAACTGTCGGCCAGGCTAGTCCAGCGGGATGCCCATTTCTGAGCCCCAGGTGAGCCGGACCCTGGCACGCCCTGTGAAGAGAAGACAGAGGAGACAGGGGCCTAGCATGCAGGCGAGGGGAAGGGACAAACACCCAAACCCAAACACATGTCCCTGTCCTGCTCACGCCATCCAGGCCTGTGCATGTTGGGGGCCCCAGAGTGACCATGGCCAGTACCTGTGACTCTGTGTGGGGGGCTGCGCCTGTCGGCCGCGATGCAAACTCCTGTAGCATAGCCAGTCGCTGGGCCACCCCTCCATCAGCAGCCTCCTCTCTGTCGTCTCTGATGACTGGACGGAAGATGGCTGACGGAACCCGGGTCAGCTCCGGAGACTCAAACACCCCAAAGACCTGCCAGGAGGGATACCACAGGGTCCACGGTCAAGGGTGCTGGCCCTTGTCCCTAACTGTTATGGACGCAGCCCTGGGTCACAGGGAAGATAGAGGGTCTGGTTGGCCTGATTGGCCAGTACCTGGACCCATAGCCTGAAAGTGCTAATATGGCTAAATCACACACCCCATGTCTGGAGTCCCTGGTTAACCCCATGGCACAGCCTCTTCCAGCACCCTGCCACCCAGCAGGACAAGACACAAGCACCCTGTCCACACATGGCTGCTTGTCACCACCGGCCCCGCCCACCTATCACCCTCCAGTCCATCATCATCACTACCCGGTCCCGCCCACCTGTCCATCATCACCCCAGTCCCCGCCCACCTGTCTGTCATCATTCCAAGTTCCGCCTACCTGGTCAATCATCTTGCGGGCTTCTTCCACTTCCTGGTCTTGGGCGTCAGTCTCGATGGTGTAGGTTCCCGCATCACTAAGGCTGTCATCTTCCTCCTGTCTGCGTGCCTTAGTCAACTGGGGGTCTGCGGGAGGCGAGGGGACTTCCGGGCTGGCTCCCCGGGGTGGCAGCAAGGCAGGCAGGGCTGGGGCCACCTTGTCAGGGTTGGGCCCGCTGGCTGGAGCCCCCTCCCGCAGGCACTGGGCCAGGAAATCCTGAGTCAGGCGGGAGCGGCGGCCTACACTGCCGAAGGGACGGACCTGAGCGCGGGAAGTGGGCGCAGGACCACCAGCTCTGTCCTCCGCCTTCTCCCGCTTGAGTGACCCAGCCCGCTGTGGACCTGCGCCAACGCCCGTGGCCCGCGCTGGAGCCGGGGCCGTGCCAGTACCCGGGCGGTCCCTGTCAGCCTGGCCTGGAGCACGAGGACGCTTCTCAGTCTTGGGGTCTGCAGGCGGCACGTGTGTAAAGGATTGAGAGCGCTTCTTGCGGGGCGTGTCCTCGTCGAAGAATTCTATGACGAAGGCCTGCTGATTGTGCAGCAACTCTTGAGGGTCCCGCTTGATCTGCCGCTGCAGCCGGGTCTGCTCCCCACCAGCCTCCACAGGTACCCCGGCTGCAGCGGCTGCCGCCGGCGGATCCTCTGAGTCACTCTGCGTGCCGTCCTCATGTTTGTGGCCTGGAGAGCAGACAGGCAGGATACTCATCAGCCATGGGGGGAATGGCCCTGGCATATGCGCGCGTATACACACACACACACACACACACACACACACACACACACACACACACGGGTCCTCAGGGACATGGCACCCACGAAACACGGAGCCCAGTACATGTGACCAGAAAATCACCCAGTCCATTAGTTAACCCCTTGCAAATGTGCCAGTGTGAAATGGGTGTGAGTGTGTGCAGGTGTAGGAATGTGGATGGGTGTGGAAATGTGTGCAGGTGTGAGGGTATAGATAGGTGTGGACAGGTGTAGGTGTGTGCAGGTGTGGATTTGTGGCTGGGTGGAGGTGTGGAGGTATATGGGTATGGATAGGTGTGGGTGTGTGCAGCTGTGGGGTGTGGATAGGTGTGGGTGGGGCTGTGGATGGGTGCTCACCCTTCAGTGTGCGGGTGTGGATGGGTAGGTCACTCTTGGTGCTGTGGCGGTCATCCCCTGAGCCAGCCTGTCGAAGCAGGCTGGGGTCATTCTGCACCAGCCAGTCAGCCACCTTGGTCTGGGCCGACACCATCTCAACAGGTGCTGTCTCCTTGCTCAGGGGCCGTCGCTGGCGCAGGGCGAACTTGGTGACATGGTCCTTGATCTTCACTTTTCCCGGACTGCAGTCGTCAAACTCAATGGTGAAGGAGGCATGGCTCTGTACCACAGGCGCTGCCCCACAACTGCCCGGTGCCTGGTCCTTGGTGGGGGCCTCGTGGGCTGGCACCTCAGGGGACTGAGAGGCTGGTGGCGACTCCTTTGTGGGGATTTCAAAGTAGCTGGGCTCCCGCCGGAATGCATACCCCTGTGGCTCCACTGAAGCCCGGGAACCAGCTGACGGGCCATTTAGTTCTCCATCCTGCTGTGTCAGGCCCCTGGTACGCTCTGGGGACAAAGAGGAGTGGGGGGAAGAGGTGGCTTCAGCCAAGCCCTCCAGTGGCCCCCACTCCCCTCCCACTGCAGTCCTCCTGGCCCCTCACCCACCACCCGCAGACTCTGGGCGATGGCCTGGCCGCCAGGACCCACCTGGGTCAGGTTCCCCCTGGGGTCGGTCCTCGTGTAGACTGCCACCATCATCCTCCCCCCACCAGGATGGTTGTCCATACAGTGGCGTGCGGTAGGGCACTGTTTCTGTGGAAGGGGGAGGGCAGGGGTGGGGTCATCACAGCCGCTGGCATGGCACCTCCCGGTCGGACCCTAGCTGTAAGCCGCTCTGAGCCTATTTCTGTGCCTGTGGGGTCAACCAAGTGGTCCCATCCAGGCTCGGTCCCCACAAGGGTCCCCTCAAGTGGGCCCTAGGGTCCCAGCCTCTCTGCTCCCCAGAGGGACAAAGGCCAGCAGGGGAGTCCCCCACTGAACACCACCTGGGGTGGCCCCTCCAATGCTTTCTCAGTGATTCAGGCCACCAACGGTAAGCCCAGAGGCTGCCCCCACAGCCCACTTAGGGGTTTTGCTTTTCTGTTGATTCAATCCTGGAACTGGCTAGAACTTAGTAAGTAAGGAGTAAAGCCTGGGATTCTGGTGACATCTGAGAAACAGGATGTGTGGCAACTATCCCAATCCCCCAGGGGGCTCCAGGAGCAGCCGGGCCCTCATCACAGCCCCTGCGTGAGCACCTGCTCCCCACCCTCAACCCAGCAGGACTGCCACCCTACCTGTCCCGGGCCTCCGGTCCCCCTTCTCGGGCCTGGGGTTCGAGGACTCGCAGTACGGTGTGTGGTCTGGCTGCAGCTCTCCCCTCTTGGGTGCTGAGCCCTTGACACTGACCTGCAGCTGGCTGGTATACTTTTCGTGCTGTGGGCCGGCCGGAGAGGCGGAAGGGAGGCAGTGAGGGACAACCCCCTGGCACCCCCTTCAGGGGCAGGCCCAGCTCCACTATGGGACTGGGAGAGCCCTCAGCATCCTCTCCAGCCCCTCCCAACCCCTCTGGTTGTGTCAGCCTCAGGGGTAATAACTGCCCTCCCACCTGCCACCTGCCGGATGAGGCTGTCCAGCTGAGCTGGCCAGGGCAGTCCTGGCCCCACAGTCAGGACAGGGAGGTATAGGGCATGTGGGGTGGGGGACACTGACCTTGAGGGCCTCCTCGGGAAGACGGTGTTGCACACGCTCCAGTACATACATGTTAGAATGTGGCCGTGCGTTAAGGAGGGACCGGCTTGGGAGATGACCATCCTGCTTTGTGCACTCCGTTTACTGGACACATGCAGGCCCACATCCCACCTCCCCACAATGGGGGGCGCCAGAGGCCAGTGTATGATCCCAGCTACACGCCACACCTCACCCCACTGAGTGTCTAGCCTCCCTTTCCCAGTCCATCCCCAAGGGGTTCCACAGGTACATCACCATGGTGCCCAGGTTAGCAGGTATGGGGAGGGGCAGACTGCCAAATGGGCCCCCTTAGCCCCCTCCCAGGGGCAAGGCTGCTGGACTCTGGTCTCAGGCCCTGTGTGACCTCAGGCCAGAGGATCTGGCTGGGCTGGACGGACTGAGGTGGTGGGCGTCCCTCAGGGCACCCCCATCCATACTGTGCACCTCCACTGGCCAAATGAGGAGGCCACCCAGCCCAGGGGAAAGGGAGGACCAGGAAGGATATCATAACCGAAGCGGATGACATCGTTAAGTCTCAGCGTGATGTACTTCTGGTCCGGGATACGCACATCGTTTACGAAGGTCTGAGGAGGTAAGGGCGGGTGGTGGAGTGGGGGTGGGCCTGGGGCAGAGAACGCTCTAGACTTCAGTCAGTGGAGAACCCAGGCAGCTCCACAACGACCATCCACACCCTCCTGGGAGGCCGAGGGGCCCGCTCCATGTGGGGAGAAGTGGGTGAGACACGTGGTGTGAGAGGAGGGGCTTGGGCTCTGAGCCGTAAGCACAGGGCGTCGGCCACACCAAGGCCTGGCTTAGAGACAGCGACGCGGCTCTGCCGATGGCCCTGCCAGCCCAGATGGGCAGCCGGCCAAGGCTCCTTAGGCAGCTCAAGTCTGCCTGACACCAGCAATCCTGGGGGCCCAAGATCGGAGTCCAGGGCCCGCAGCTTTGGAGCCCTTGAAGAACCGCTCAGGGCAGAGGCTGCCTCACCTGGCAGGTGGGCGGGGAGCACTGTACGTGTATGTGGGGGGGGGGGGCAGCCTAGTGCACACCTGGAGACCTGGCCCATCTAGTGGAGAGAGGTCAGCTTGAAGCTGTTTGTAGGGTCCCGTCCCCAGCTCAGGACAGTGGGAAGGAGTAGCCACGTTATTTTGTAAGAGAACGTACTGAGGCCCCGCCAAGAGAGGCCAGAAAGGGGAGGTGACCATAAGACACCAGCCACATACACAGGACAGAGGGTGCCTCCTCCCACTAAGAGAAGGAGGTCACAGCTGAGAGGGCCCCAGCATTCCGGTCCAGTTCAGGACCCATCTAAGAGCCCATGGGAGGTGTCCACAATTACCTGGAGAAGAGCGCCACCCCATGGCAGATTCAGTCCCTGCCTAGCGGAGCCCTCCTAGAAGGCAGCACCGGAAGCCAGGGGGGTCTGAGCAGGGTGGGGCTGGACAGAGGAGGCGAGGCCAGGGTGGAGGGGCGGGGCCAGGACAGAGGGGGTGGGGCCAGGGTAAAGACTGCTCACTCACCCCATTGAGACTGCCCAGATCCTTCACCCAGTGTTCATCCCTGTCCTGGTCATAGTTGATGACGGCGTGCTGCTTGTCCACACTGCGGGACTGAGGAGACCCAGAGTGGCCCTCAGCACCCCATCCCTGCAAACCCCAGAGTCCTCTACATCCCAACACCAGAACCCTGGGCCTTCGAGTCCTGGGCATCAGGGTCCTGAGGTCACACCCATGCCTTCGGTGTATGTGTCCCCTGAAAGACCACTCAGCCCTAGCCTGGCCAGCTCTCCCAGCTGCCCAGCCCTTCCCCAGCTCCGAGAGATCAGTGTCCCACCTCCTGTCTGCTACAGATAACTATAGTAGGTCAGCTGTGGGAGGGAGCAGGTACCTTGGCTACCTTGGCTTATACTGCTCAGGGTCAAGGGAAGGGCCCGGAAGGAGCCATGCAGCTGAGGAAAGGACACCAGGAGGCAGCCCCCCTTCCCCTCCCCACACAGTGCCTGGCCCGACTCCAGCAGTGCCTTGGACACACTGTCACCCAATCGCTGACCCTGACCACTGCCCCACTGTAGGGGCTCTGCCAACAAATGCAACATCGCTGCCCTCCCACAGGCTCTCCGGGGCCTCCCCAACCCTGGAACACCCGGAAGGCCATGGTCTCTGAGGGGAGAGCCACTGGCTGTCCCTGACCTGGTGCCTTGGGGTGGACCCTGACCCAGGGCCAGCTCTGCTCCCTACACTTGGCTACACCATCCCCTCTTGGAGCCTCGGTGGCCCGGAGCCACCTCTAAGGGGACTTGTAGCCTGCGTCCTAGCCCTCCACCTCCTGCCTCTGCCTGTGGAGACGTTCAGCTAAACCCAGTCTTCCAGTCTAGCCTGTCCCTGGGCCCCGCTCCTCCGCTATGTGGCTCTCCTCACCCTAGGCGCACCAGCGTCACTCAGTCAGTGACCCCTGGTCTATCTGCCACCTCCATCCCTAGGGTACCTCATGTCTCCCACTCATCATGCTGACTTGCTAGATCTCCCACCCGCCCCTGCAAGGCCCCTAGTCCTCTGAGTCAGCATGGGCCACCCCCCTCACTCCAGGGCCAAGTCCACTTCGTGCCAGGGCTATCCCCAGGCACAGCGCCTGCCAAGCCCATCCCCAGGCTGCAGGGAGCCAGAGCTCCCAGGGGGCAGCAGAGAGGAGTCCTCTAGAAGCCGGCCCGCTGCCCCTGCCAGAGGCAGACTCCCTACCGCCAAGCCCACGTGTTAGGGTGGAACACAGCCCACCCACAGACCAGGGTTCAGGATTCAAAACAGCAACATACATGTCCTGTGAAAAGTAGCTCCCAAAGAGGAGAGAGTCGGTGTGGAAACAATGGAAGATCCCAAGAAGCTACAAACACACCATTATCAGGAAAACATCTGCTTGTTAGTCCTCACTGTAAAACCCAGGGAAGCCGGGTTTCCAAAACACACACCAGATCTCCAGCCCTACCCTGACCCCGTCCATCCCCACGCAGTATCAAGGCATGGGGGCAGCTGTCTCCTGCCAGCTCAACTCCAACATCCCCAGCATGAGGTGACGTGAGTCCACAGGACATGACCCCATGCACGGGCAGTAGTGGGGAGGGGGGGGACCAGGTGGGTAGGAGCTGCAGTCTGGGATCAGGAGGTGAAATGTTCAGGCTGTGCTCAGACTGTGGGCCAACGAGGGGCATGTTCTCAGACAAGTAACACAGCCTCCCCCAACATCACCACGTAGGTGCTCACACACATACACACATAGGTGCTCACATACACATCTACACACACACACTGCGCCACACAGGCACTCACACACGCACACACTCCTATACATACACACACGTACAGACACATGCCCTCCCTGATCCATCAATACACATGCTCAGTCATTAACACATACTCACCACTCCTATACCCCTAGTCACACACACAACAGGTGTGTTGTGCATATACACACATGTGCATATAGGTGTGCACACAGCATGAGCCACCCAGCCCTGCCAGGGCTCTTCAGCTGTTGGGGCCTGCCAGGTGGGTGCTACGAGTCCTCACAGGCACCACCTCTGCACCGGGCCTGCCCGCGTGCCCTGGGCCTTGTGGTGAGCCAGGTCACGTTACTGCTCTGTCCCTAGAACACGGTCCCTGGGTCCCTCTGCCAACCCAGGTCTAAGCCAATGTCCCCACTGCTCCTGGGCACTGCTCCCCCAGCCGGGCTCCTTACAAGAAGGTCACTGTCACCCCTCACCTGCCTCAGCTTGATTCGCCCCCTGCCTCCTCAGGACCACCCAGAGGCTGTCCCAGAACAAGGTTGGAGGAGGGTTGCCCAGTTACCCCACAGCACAGGGATGCTTGGACATCCCAGATGAAGGCTGGGAAATTCTCCAGACCCTCCCAGCTCGGAGTCCCCTCCATGGGCCCAGAAGCCAGGGACCCACACTCTTTCTGGACCTGAACATCCCCCGCCCCCGGCCCCTGGTCTCTCCCCAAGGCCCAGGAAGACAGTGAGGCCTGGTGCAGGGCAGGCATGGGGTAAGGAGAATCCACGCTTGGCCCCACCCCCCCACACAGGTGTGTCTGCAGACCCCCACATAGGTGGTCCCCACTGTCTCTAAGCAACACCATCCGAGACCCTCACCATCCACAAGTTCTCAGCATATGAGGCCCCACATCTGGGCCAGGAAAGCCCCTTCAGAGTCTACATAGGCTTTTGCCCCCAGAGCCTGAAGCCCAGCCTTGTCCCCAGAAAGTGTCCTTCCCACCGCTCCAGGGGGCCTCAGAGAGGCCTGAACCTCCACGGAAGACCTGCTCGGGAGCAGCCCGACAGGACCACCCTCATCACTGTGCCTGAAGAGCTAGTGCAGGCCCCCACCCCACCCCAGGACCCCAGGAGGCAGGCTAACCCCAATCTAGTGCCCTCTAGGGCCCCAGCTCAGCGGCCCATCTGCACAAGGGGGGGGTGGGTGGGTGGGCTCGGAGCACCCCTTGTCCCTTCTCTGGCCCCCAACCACTTGAGGCAGGACGGCAGGTACACCCCCTTCCCGGCCCGCCTCACCTGAAGCACCAGCTCACACTCATCGCGCCCCACGAAGATGAGCTCTCTCGGCAGCCGGTGGCGGGTACCACTGGTGCTCACCAGAAACCAGGATGTAATGCTCATCTCGATGCCACTGTCGTGAGATCGTCCGGCCCTGGGGGAACATGGTGGCAGAGTGGGGTCCGTGTGGGGGTCCCACAGAAGGCCCCCAGTCCCACAGCCAGGCCTGGGGACCCCCTCCACCTCCGGCCCCAGGACACTCACATCTTCTAGTCACACTGGTCACATGTTACCAGAACATGGACCCGTGTGTGTCCACGGGACCTGACCAGGGACACCTGGAAGGTGGGACCAGCCCTGAGCCCTGAGGTGCTGCTTTTGCTAGCCCACCCCCTGGTTGAACGCTGGGAACGCACAGCACCTGAGCACAGGGGAGGGGCAGGCTCTACTGGGGGATCTGGGCAAAAGTGGACATGGGGTACGGAGCTGCGTCACACCTGGGTGGCTACATTTTGGAGGTCCTGGAACAAGAGAGGGATTGCTGGAGGACCCAGGCCAACATGCCCCAAAGTTGCCAGGATTTCAAAACAGCAAGAGCATTAGACCCCTGCACGGGGCCCTCCCAGCCAGGGGCGGACCACCACAGGACACTCAGGCCCTGGTAGCAACTAAGAAGCAGTTGGTCCTGGACACCCCAAGAGTCAGGTGGCCCCGATCAGTGGGTGAGCAAGAAGAAGGGGGAAGGCGTCTCAGGCCTGGGGCACAGCTGGAAGGTTGGGGGTGTGAGCACCAGGTGTGGAGGCCTCAGGGACGCAGCCCTGTGTACACACCTCCCGGAAGTGCACGCGATCACTGACGCTAGCCACAAGGTCATGCCCGCCCCTCCTCTCCCAGGGAGCACCCGGGGGCCCTGTCCCTGCAGTGCCAGCCCCAGGCTCGGCCTGGTCCCAGCTCCCTGGGAGGTGGGCAGGGTGAGGCCAACACCAGCCTCACCCACTTCAGGGTGATGGAAACCCTCAGCTGGCTAGAGACTCTTCACCCTGGACCCCCTGTTTGTTCTCGGGGTCCAGCCTGCGGGGGGTGGGCCCTGGAAACCAGAGATCCTCAGAAGGCCACCACACCAACCTCCTGGGAAAACTCCCCGTTTGGTGCTCGGGGCAGACAGGAAGGCGTCCCTCATATTATGCCCCCCAACCCTCCAGCCCAGACCTCAGGTCCAAGACAAGACTATGCCCTGCTGTCAGCTCTGGGTGGGCAAAAGGCACGAGCCCCCCACCCACGAAGCTGCAGTCCTGCTGAAGGCAACGGGGGACCTAGGCCCATGCATCTGTGTATGCTGAGTGAAGGCCATGTCCACACAGCCCGCGGCCTGGCTAAGACGGTAAATCACCAACAACCCAAACTTGTCCCCTGCCAGGAGAGCCACCGCCCAGAGGTGAGGGCAGAGGGGCAGACTGCCAGGGGTTAGGGCAGCCAAAGAGAAGCAGACAGGAGTCCGGGGAACCCAGCGAGACAGAACGGGGGCAGGGCCAGGCCGAAGGAGGAGGCAGGGACACCGGGAAAGACTGCGACGACGAAGGGAAATGAGGAGAGACGGAGGAGGAGGAGGAAGACAGAGGGAGGGACCGCGGGAGGAGGCGACCAGGCCGGGAGGAGGAGGCGGGAGGCGGCCGAGGAGGGAGCGCCAGCCCGGGGGGAGGGAGCGGCGCCTTCCCCTGAATCAGCGCTCGCCAGGGGCGGCCATGGCGCGCCGGTGCCCGAGCGGCGGGCGGGGACCCCGACGCTCCGGCCTGCGCTCCCACGGCCGGCCGCGTAGACGCGCACGGGCCCCTCCCGGCCTGGCGCAGACCTGGGCCGACTCCGCGGCGGGGACCCGCCTGGCCAGGTGCACCAAGCTGGCCCCGCGCCTGAGCCTTTGTCCGATCGCCGCGCCGGCTGCCGAGGGCGCTCTCTGCTCCCGGTTCGCCCCGCGGGCCGGCAGGTGCGGAGGGGGCCGGGGCGCGGCGTCCCTTACCTGTGCTAAGCTGGTCCCAGTCTGTCCTGGGGGGTAGCCGTCTCGGCTCCAAATCGGTCCCCGGCTCGGCCCGCCTCCCAGCCGGGCGCTGGGGCGCGGGGCCCGCCGCCTAGGACATGCCCGGCGCGCGCGGCAGCTCGGCGGAGCCCACGGCAGCACGGCCGCGGCGGCCTCGCGCGGCGGGTCCCTGACGTCTGCGGGCTCCCGCCCCGCCTCCGGCCCGCCTGCGACCCGCCCCCTCCCGGCCGGCCCCGCCTCAGCCCCGCCCCGCCGGAAATCCAGGTCCAACCCCGCCGGCTCGCGGCGCCAGGTGAGCGCGCCGGCGCCCTAGCTGCTGGTGGGCCTTCAGCCCTTGCTCTTGGCCGGTGGACAGACACGCCCTGCGTTTCCAGAGGATCGGTGCGCCTGGCCTGTCTCGGCCCCAGCCCGGGCCCGCTGGTTAACGTTTAACACTGCCTGGGAGCCAGACTCCGACCGCGCCCCCAACCCCAAACCTTTGCCCCTGCCGGCCGGAGCGAGGGATGGTAGGAGACACGGTGGTTTGGGACCCGAGACCGATCCTCCATTCTCCCCGCCCTTGCCCACTCTCAGGCACTCTAGGTGACGCTGGAGGATCGTGATCACCACACGGCCTACCTGAGCGCCCTCCCGCGGGGCTCGTCCGCCCCGAGTCAGTTTTACAGCTTGCTGGGGACTGAGCACCTGCTCCGAGGTGTCGGGTGTCCACAAAGAAAAGAGATTAGTTTAGGGGCGGAGGGGGAGGGATTGCCTACAGGCCCGGCTGCATTCCAGGTGGGGGGCATGGAGGTGGGGCCGAAAGGGTGAGGTCCTGGGGGAGGGGACCGAGGAGGGCACCGACTGGAAAGTCTGGCCTTGTCCGCGGCCGCTGAGCTCTTCGGGCACGTGCTGCGGGAAACCCGCCCCCAAGACTGTCCCAGGGCAGATCTCACACTCGTGGGACAGTCCCGGAGTGTCGACAAAACTTTACCTACGAGGGCGGCCCGCGGTGTAGTGCTGGGAGGGAGGGGGTCAGTGGGTACTGCTTCTGTGAGGACTCGCAGGTAGAACCCAAAAAAGGTAACTGGGAGAGGCGGGGAGTCCAGAGTTGGGACCAGTAGCCAGGTGCTCAAGAAGTTTGGACTTCAGCCCGAGGACAACGTGGTGTGAAGGGTTTAATGCCACCCAGACCTGCTCAGCTGAGGACTTGAGCGAGGTGTCCAACAAGAGGCCCTGGCCTGAAAGAGGCGGGGCAGAGAGGTGAATGGATCTCTTCCAACTGCCTCCTCCCCCACTGACTTCAAGGTGAGCTTGGCCACCGGAAGAGGGGGTGGAGTCAATCTGGGAGTTTCCCAGAGTTCTCCCTGCCAAGCAGTGGCTGCTCCCCTTCCTGAGACCCCTGCCTTTCCCACCTTCTTTGTTCATTACCATCCCTGCTGGCCTTGCCCAATCCTAGGTAAATTGTCTATCATAAATCTAGGAATATTGGATATTTGCATCGACTCGATGGCACTTAACAACAACAACAACATGCTAAAAATGGTCTCTGGCCAAGGTGAGGGAAGGGGAAGGCAAGACCAATGGCCACTCATGCCTGGACCAGAACTTGTGGAGACCACCGCATGGAGGCCAAGCTAACAGGTATGGGAGGGTTTTCCTAAAGTGCTGCGAAGTCTGGGAACACTCAGATGACCTGCCCTGGGACGTTGGGAGCCTGGGACAGAGCTTGTTGTTAAGTGCGTTCAAAGTTCTAACCGTTGACCTCGCAGTTCAAACCGATCTTGTGGTCCAGTGCTTATCCTACAGCGCTGTACCAGGACTACAGGACAGAGCGAGGGAAGCAGTATTTGGCAATGATGTGAGATCTGCCAAGGCAACGCCCCACAAGCCAAATTCTGATGAGTCCTTTCTTTATAGCAAGGAGGTGGGTCTTTCCTTGTCTGCAGACTTCTGGTAGCTCAGGTGCTCATCTCCACCTGATCTTCCAGGTGTGTCTCTCTGAGGCCTTTCTCACATAGGACATCACTCAGATAGGATTAAGACCCACCCTGTCCTTGGATGACCTCATGCTAACTGATAATAACTCCAAAGACCCTATTACTAAATGATATTGCATTCCCAAGCATGAGAGTTAGAAGTTCAACACAGACAAGGAACACAGGTCTACCCCTAACAGGTCCCAACAGGAATGGGTAATACTTGTAAGTGGGAGAAACCTAGCCAGAGTCCCAGGAAAAGGCAGTGAAGGTGGGGCCCACTTCCCTCCTCACCAACGCTGCCCCCTCCTTGAATGCAGTCCCTGTAGAAGTAGCCCCAGGAGAGTTTATGGAACTGGGCACATTGTGAAGAAAATGAAGGTGCAAGAATGAATAGCCTGTAAAACCCTAGAAAGAAGATTGAGGTGACCCAGCCTGGTGGGGAACAATGTGTCACTGGTGGAACAGACTAGAGCTGTTTAGTCTGTTCACAGTCACTCAGTGTAGCAGTATTTGGGCATTTTAAATCCATAAGAAGAAGGGCATCAGTTAATAGAGGGTGTTGGAACTGGTGGGTAACCACCTGGATAAGACATGCCTCTGGATTGCCCATCTTGCTCCAGAATAAATCCCACATAGACCAGAAACACAAGCTCAAGGTATCAAACCACAAAAGCTTTAGAAGAAAATGTGGGGGAAGGTTTCACAATTCCAGGATAAGGAAGATCGTTCTAAGAGTGTAACATAAAAACATTTGTAATTTGTTATAAATTTGACTACATAACAAATGGAAACATTTTGCATAGATGGAGTCTTAAAATTGAAGGATGTCCCTAAAACAAGAGAAGCAGCAACACAGGAGATGGAGGCAGAGATGGGAACACAGAGAGACGAAGCAGCTGAGGACTCTAGATTCATGGAAAGAGAAAGGCTGTGTGCTCACAGCCAGGAAGCAGGCTTGCAGAATGTGCCCTTTGGTTGTTTAAAAGACAACAACACAGGGAATAGAAGCAAATACTGTTGAATGATGATACACGGAGGAGATTGTAATCATTGCAATGAAACAGTGTAAAACTCATGTTCTACCATGTAAATTATCTCTCAATTCACAATAAAAACTTTAAAAAAAAAAATTG